ACAAGAAAGCACATGCCACTATACGAGAGAATCCGGTCTATGAGAAGAAGCCTAAGAGAGATGTGAAAAAGAGGTGGAATCGTCCCAAAATGTCTCTTGCCCAGAAGAAAGATCGGGTAGTTCATAAGGCAAGCTTCCTCAGAGCTCAAGAACAGGTTGCGGAAAGCTAAACCAAATCGCAATTTTCCATGAGGATTTATTACATAAATACTATTTCAAGCAGCAAAAAAAAAAAAAAGAAAAATGGAATTGAAAGATAATGAAATCTTCCCATGAACTTTTGGAAGCCTCCTGTACACTATAATACTCTACTATGAAGGAAGAACAAAGTTTTATTTGAGCAGAGGATGCATATCAAATTCTTGGGGTAAGTAGGATAATATCCAGAGGTACAGCTAGACAATAAATGGAAAGAAAGAACGTTCTCAAAGAAAGGAATAACACATAGAAAGGCATAGAGGCACAACGGTTTCACGATTTAATCAGTGAAGACCAAGTCGTGCAGGCTTTCAGAAAGCAAAACTTTTATGAAAAGGATAAGGATGAGAAGAGATGGAGCTAAAGAGGCAGGCAAGGTCAGATCATAAGCAGTCCAGCCAAGGAGTAAAGATTTTATCTGAAAAGTTATTGTAATGTCAGGTAAGATAATGGATGACTGCATTTGTGTTTTAGAAACACTGTCTGGCAGCAAAACAGCAAAAAACTGACGGAAAGAACTACAGTCTCAAAGCAGGGACCACCTGTTTGGAGGCTATTGAAATAATTCAGGCAAGTGACTAACCCTGAATGGTGCCGATGAAGAAAAAAAGACTGATCAAAGAATTTTGTAAGGGAAGAATTAGAGGTAGGAAGGTCAAGCAAAGGAAGAAGTCGACGAGGCTGTCTTGAGCTCTGGGTGTCATTAAGTAAAAGAGAGAATGGAGGGAAGAACACTAAGAATGAGGAAAGATGATGAGAACAGATGGCAGTCTTACTTTCACCCTACCAGATGGAGATGTCACTAAGCAGATACATCTAGAACTCAGCAGAGAAACCTGAGGTGAAAATACTAAAGTGCAATGTATTAAGCGCCTGGTGGTGCAGTCGTTAATCTGTTCAGTTGCTGACCGAAAGGACAGTGGTTCAGACACATCAGCCACACCGAGGGAAGACAAGAATATAGCCGTCCGTTTCCATAAAAATTTTGAATTCCTACAGGCCAGTTCTCTGTCCCATGAGATTGCTGAGTAATCAATCTACCAACTTGTTGGTAGGTTTGTTTGGTTGTTTAAACACAATACTCACTAATTTTTAGCCAGAAGAATTGATGAAAGTGCGTCAGAAAAGTTTACAAAAAGGGGGTAGAACCAAAAATACAGTTCTGGAAAATGCCAATATTTAAAACTGTGGCAAAAGGAGTAAATGAAAACTAGGAGAGAGTTTCATGAAGAGTTGTCAACATTACTGAATGTATGCGGGAGCACAAGTTTAGAACATTAAAGCCTCCTCTGGATGGACAACGGCAATCATGATTTTACACGGAATTAAGAGGAATGGCTAGCAACTAAAAATAAAACTAGAGAAAGTTACAGACACGGTCGCCAAGTTCCAAATGAGATCCACTTCTGAGTGTCTGTAAGCTGAATTGGTGGGTCACACTGTTCTGATTGAGCCTTGCCTTCATACAAAAAAGGAGCCCTGGTGGCATCGTGAGTTGCAAACGACAAGGTCAGCCATTGAAAAACCACCAGCTACTCCGCAGGAGAAAGATGGACTTTTCTAAGCCTTTAAAGAGTTAGTCTTGGAAATTCACAGGGATAGTTCTACCTTGTCCTACAGTCGCTGTGAGGTGGCACTGGCCCAATGGCAGCAAGCTTGGTTTTGGTTTTTAGTACAGGAAAAAAGCCTTGGTGGTGCAGTCAGGTAAACATTGGACTGTTAATGTTAAGATCAGTGGTTCAAAGCCATCACACAGGCTGTCTGCTGCAATACAGCTCCACAACCCTGGAAACCCTTTTTGGGTCACTCTAAGTCAGAGTTGACTTGAGGGCAGGGGGCAGGTGAATTAATGCAAAAAAAAAAAAAGGCGTGAAGCATTTTCCATAATATAAAAGTGAAGATGAAGAAATTGTTATGAGTAGGGACTGATTCGATAGCTTCAGTGTGGGCAAATTTCTGTAACACTGAAGGGCAAGTAGGAGCCCTGGTGGTGCAGTGGTCACATATTGGGCTGCTAACCACAGGGTCGGCAGTTCAAAACTACCAGCTACTTCTTGAGAAAGATGGGGCTTTTAAAAAAGTCACAGTCCCAGAAACCCACAGGCCCGTTCTACCCTATTCTAGAAAGGTCGCTGAGTCAGAACGGACTCGATGGCAGTGAGTATGAGCTGTTCATAAAGCACATGTTCCTAACCCAAGGGCTTCCTGTGGCAGTAAATAACAACTAGAGAGAGGGCTAAAGAGCAAGATTTTTACGATGGCAGAGATTTTAGTATTTCTGTCCACTGAGAAAGGGATCAATGAAAAGTGAAATTTTATACTTACAACAATGTGAGGGGGCTTCAAAAAGTTCATGGAAAAACTAAATTGAAAGGCAATGAAATTTCGCCACAAATTTTTGGAAGCCCCATGCAAATGGATTCTTCTGGAACAGCATTAAGTGGAAAGAAAAACGAAGAAAACAAGTTAAAAAATATGCACAGCATGATGTCACCGAAGGTCGGTAAGGCTTTTAGTCGCTTATCACTTGGCCCGGCACACCTCTGACTTCATCACATACCTCTGCCCCTCTTTCACCAGGCTCCAGGCACACAAGCCATTCTTTGCAAGCCTTCAAAGGAGCAAGCTTGTGCTTTCTTGCCTGAGGGTTTTGTGATAGTTACTCTTGCCTACACTACACTCCCTAAACAGCAATGATCTTTCCTTCATATCATTCATTCAGATCTCACCTCACCCCTCACTTCCTCAGAGATGCCTGCCCACCTGCATGTACTACTGCACAACCTCCACTGCAGTCCCCGTGACTATCACTACCTTGTATCAGCACCTTTACTGCTGGGAAGTTCTTATTTAATTGCTCCCCTCTCCTCTACAATGTGAACTGTGGGAAGATACTCCTTCTGCCTTGTGCATCATTGTTTGACCAGTGCTCAGCACAAAACAGGCACTCTATTACTCAATGTAGGTGTATGTATGCACCAATATTTACATGGAAACTATAAATCAAGTTTCGGAGGGAGTATTTCTGGAACTTATACCAAGTGCAAGGAGTAAGATTAGGAGGGCAGGCATAAAATAAATATCGCTCACATTTTGCTTCACAGATCTATATTCAAATTTTCTATTAAAAAATTACTTTTTAAAATTAATTTTTAAAATAATTAAAAATAAACCACAATGATCATATAAGCTTACAACAGTCGATCTATTCTGCAGTCTCTATTTTCTGATGGTGGGTTATCATGATCAAATTAACCTGTAGCTTGGTGGCTGATTCCTGAGTTGCCTTGCTAGGGCAAGTAAACGCTAGACTCTTAAACCTTAGCACTAAAAAGAGTGGCTTGCTTCTGCTCCTGCTCCTGCTCCTGCTGTAGTTGTGGGAGGCCGTGGGGTCAGTTCCCCCGAATCGTGGAGTAGAACTGCCCCACAGGGTTTCCTAGGCTGCAGTCTTTATGGGAGTACACAGCCTGGTGAATTCAAGCTGCCAACCTTTCACTTAGCAACCCAGTTTAGAGATCATCTAATCCGACCCCCTAGTTTCCCCCAATGAAGAGGCTGAGAACAGAACTCAAGTAATTTCAATAGAAACAAGGGGCTGGTGCAAACAGCTATTCACTCAACTACTAACCAAAAGCTTGGCAGCTCCAACTCCCACACAGGGGTTTTTAATAAAAAAAAGCCAACGAACAAATGATTAAGAATTATCTAAAAGCCAAAACCAATGCTGACTCACAGAGACCCCTGTGAGTTCCCAAGCCTGTAACTGTTTCCCCCCCAAAAGCTGGTGGTGGTTTGGAGATGCTGCCAACCATAGAGATCCGAGCCCAGGCTTAAACCACTACACCACCAAGGCCTAAGCATTATTTGAAACACTAGTCTATTATATGCTATATAATCTAAATGTGATAACTAATAAAAGCCTATTAAGAGTTTACTCTCACATATAACCTACAATCTTCTGGTGAAATTATTACTCAAAGTAAAATTGTCTCCTGAAGTACACCACTTGACCAATGAACCCCATGGCTAAGCATCAAAATATGACAAAAGATTTACAATGCATAAATATAGGGAGTGAAAATTAATCACTCTTCAAATACTAACACCGTTAGGTATACAGACAACTGAACACCCAAGCACTTCTTTCCATTAGAATCTACACTAGAATCTACTGCATATCCTGGTGGAAATGTATACGATACTTGATATTTTTAGTAAGTCGTGTATCTATTGAACAGACCAAGTATATCATACTTTTAAGAATTCAGTTATTCCTTGATTCAAATTCCTCTATCAATTTCTACAATGTCAGTTAACGGAATTTAATGAAAATTAAATATTGAATAGTTAGAAAATTACTACTAAATACCATTTACAGGAACTTACAGTCTCCCTTAACTGTTTCACTTTACATATATATTGTACTTTACTTACACCAAATCTTGCCTAAACTTTTAACTACCATTCAAAACCAAACTCACTGCCATCAAGTCAAGCCGATGCCAACTCATAGCGTCTGTTCAAGAAGTCCTGGTGGCACTGTGGTTACACACTTCGCTGCTAACAGAAAGGTTGGTGGTTCAAACCCACCAGCAACTTCATTGGAGAACGAGGTGTCAGTCAGCGTCAGCTCAGAGTTACAGCCTCGGAAACTCTGGGGACCAGTTCTACTCTGTCCTATTGGGTTACTGAGTCAGAATCAACTCGATGGCAGCCTTCATTTTTTGGTTCTAGTACATTTGTTCAACAAACTTGCTAATTTGACCCTCACAACTTCTTGAGCGGAACAGGCACTATTTTTCCCATTTATTATATGAGCAAAATGAGGCTAAGAGGTTGGTCATTTAGACAAGTCCTGGAACAGAGATCCTCTAGCTCTTTGCCAATATTCTTGGAATCAAACCAGGCTGTATCACATTTACTGGAAGTGTAAAATATTTCATTCCAGTACATAAGAAAACATTAGCCATTCATCTAGTGAGGATTAAAATGTTACATTCTTAATTGAGAATTGTGCTCATCAATAATTCTCCATGAAATCCTACCAACCACAACTTCCCTAATCCTAAAACAAAAACCAATGCAAACGCACTGCCATGGAGTCAGTGCTGACTCATAGCAAACCCCCGTGGGTTTCCGGGACTGTACCTCCCTATGGGAGTAGAAAGCCCAGTCTCTCTCCCTCAGAGCTGCTAGTGGTTTTGAACTGTGGACAACGCGTATCCCAAGCCAACGCACAACCACTACATCACCAGGGCTCCAACCCGAATAATATGGTAAAACCATTTTACCTTATTTAAAATGGTCTCTGCAAACAATACCCAAAGTAGTGTTAAGAGAAAAAAAAAGGGGGGGGGTGTCTGTTTTGTTTTCGGAGGGTGTGGGGGACTTAAGTTTTACCAGTACTTTTCTGAAATTCCTTAAGCCTCAGCATCTTCACCTATAAAAGGGGGATAAAACCACCTACCTCTGTAGTTGCTGAGAATAGTAAGTGAGATTAAAGTGCAGAATATCTGGTTCTTACAAAAGGGCTGGGTAATATAGTTGGTGCTATTAGAAAAAACGAATGGTTTATCCTTCTGCTGACAGGTAATGCCATTTAATTAATTTGTGTTTTATTAGTTTTAATTTCCAGTGTGACCTAATTTTTTTCTCCCAACTATTTGAGGCAAGTACAATATAGGCAGTCAATAGATTATGAATGAGTTCCACTCCTAAATCTGTCTTTAAGTTGAATTTGTACTTAAGTTAGAACAGCCAGGTACTGTTAGTATTTAGCATCAGTTGATCAAAATGTTTGTCATAATATACAGTATATAATGTACCTTTCTATGCATAAACAAGTTTAAGGAAATACTTGTAGATACACTACACACCTTTAACAAGAGAAAAACAAAAACTGAACTCACTGCCATGGAGTCGATGCTTACTCATCGTGACTATTGGACGGGGTAAACTGTCCCTGTGAGTTTTCGACACTAACTCTTTACTGAGGTAGAAAGCCTCGATTTGTTCCTGAGAAGCAGCTGGTGGTTTCAAACTGTGGACCTTGGAGTAACAGTCCAACTTGTAATCCCTAGGCCAATAGCCAATATAGTAGTAATGATTGGAATATGAGTTGCTATTGTTATGGAGCTGGCTGTAACTACATGTTATAGTTTATATGCAAACCCTGTAACCTAAGGAAAAGCAATCTTTCCCTTGCTCTGCTCCTAAGGAACCAATTAAGGTGAGGCTGGATTTCAGTCCTCTTCCAGCCCCTCCAATTAAGTGACAGAGTACTAACAACCTGTGGTTCTGACTCCTACTCCATCTACTAACTGCATCATTCATTCGCTGTTGGAATAACACTACAATTTTACAATAAGAAATCATGATACAGTGAATTCCTGTTGGGTCAAAGGGTAAGAAGTTTTCAGGGTGGGTGGGGAAAGGCACAGAGGTTATTATGTATTCAGCAGCCCATCTAACCCTATAGTGTTAAATTTCTTTTAATCCTCACAGCTACCATTTTAATCAATATTAGCTTTGCTTTATAGATGAAGCCTACATGCAGAGTCGATTCCAACGCACAGCCACCCTGTCCAGGGTTTCCCAGGCTGTAGATCTTTACTGCCAGGGATTAGGAAACAGAATCTTCAGCTCCTTTTACCTTCTCCCCTTTGCTCAATATGCTGTAATCACACTAGCCTACAGGAAAGTTCTTGCTCAACTCAATGCCTTTCCTCTTGTCCTCTGCCCAGCTCCACTGTCCCCTTCTGCTTCTAGTCTCCCCTCAGATGGTACCTCCTCTAGCCAGCCGACGTAAAAGAGCACAAAACAATTACTTTATCCTTATTGCCCTTACTGAATATAAAACAATCTGCAGTGTGTGTGTGTGTGTGTGTGTGTGTGTGTTTACAGGCAGAGCTATTTGGACTCTTTAAGGCTGCATCCCAGGAGCAGCATGCAGGAAGTGCTGAGATGCTGGGGGAATGAATAAATGAACACACCCACCTACAGTCATCTAGGATATGTAAGTATATGGCAGGGCCTGGAATCCAATCCAGGTACACCAGATGATCCCAAGTTCCCACACTATCTGCAGAACGGAGGGGAGCTGCTTTGGGTTGGGTAACCATTTGAATGAAGATGCCAGTTCATAGGACTTTCTTACGGATATGTGCTATTACAAAATATCTTGCCAGAATTCCAAGAGAGCACCCAGAGCATTTACCATGACTCTTTGCAAACACACTATGCTTAGAAACTGTTGCACTAGTAGCACCTTAAGAACGAATGAAAATTTCCAGTCTCTCACACACGCTTTTACCAGGACCCCTGTAATACTGGATTCTTTTATAAGCTGCTTCCCGTCTCACAATCAGGCAGAAATGTCTGCAAACCCGCCCTGGGGGATCAGAACAGCGTGGCTCTTTCTTAAAGCAAGAGGCCACCAATGCGCGCCCCATCTCAGGAGTCAAGGTCTTGCCACACACAAGTGGCCTTGTGTCAACAACTAGGTGCAGAGAAAGCAGCCCCGTGACCCGCAGCACCCCCTTAGCTCCCCAGGCCCCGGGGTTCGCATACTTACTGCCCAGTCCTCCATCCTCGGCCACGCCCGTCCCCCTCATGCCCAGGTACGTGAGTCCCAGGAGGAGGAAAAACAAGCAGGCCGCCGTTAGGAGGAACATCGACAAGTAGTGGGCGCTGAAGCCGCCCGTGGGGGACACCTCCTCGCGTTTAAACTGCTGGAGGAGCGCCTCCTCGGGCTCGGCGAGCTGGGGCTGGGCGTAGGTGCTCTTCAGGTAGGTGTGATTGGAGGCCGTGTGGTTGGAGTGATTGACGCGGAGCGCGCCG